ATTATATGAGGAAATAAATATAAACACTTTTTGAAAGCACATTGCATGCCGTGCTCCTTTGTCCTCCAACGTTTTTTCAGTAAGCATCCAACCAAAGAGTGGGATTCGGCAAGGAATCTTTTTGATTGCTTCAGTTTTTTCAAGTCAGCACTTGGAATAAGTTTTTTTTTGCATCTATCTCAGATTTGATCGTGACTATTGTGTATGATAGGTACAATTCGCAACACCTACAAAATCCTTGCTACACTTGGAGATCAATCGTGAATCGTGTCATTCCAACTTGGAAAACACGTTCAGTGTGTAACCCCCCACATGCAAACTAAAAAGACTTAAAGAAAGCAGGGCATATTCGGTGTGCTCAGGGTATGAAAACCCTACGTTGTCAGGAATTTCGGAATTCCCCTGTAGAACCAGGGGCACTGGAATGCCTTCCATTCCCACAAGCCCTGAGGCATGTTGAGGCGGCTGGGCGGAACAAGTTATCCACTGGGTGGTGCTTTGTATATCTCTCAGTTGAAGCCTATAGGTTGAATAAAGGATGAAACAGATCAGACATCAACAAGCATAGAGTTGAATAAGAACCTCCATCAGTGGCAGGGTTTGTTTTGTTTGACTATCGTGGCTGGAATGGGGTGAAAGTCCACAAAAATTCAGCGCAGCGGTTTCTCAGCTTTCTGACGGGTCTTCCTTGGGGGCGCTTGGCAACCTTTGGCATACCAGAAGCCAGAGCTACGTAGCAGATTGCCTCTTCCGGCAGCTCCTTGCCCTGTATTTGGGACAGTTGTTACTACAATTAAACTTGCGAGATATCTGATGTGCTTCACTCCAAGGAAAGAAAAGCTCCAGGACAGACTGGGTTTTGTTGAATGTCTATTTTCCATTATTTTCCCAGGGTCCGACGTTTCATGCAAATTTGTTATGTGGCATTTCTAGTCGCACGGTCGCTGGATGGGCAACTTTGTATTTGCGAATGGACATTGACTTCACCGCGGCAGGATTTAAGGAGAACAGTTCTTGCAAGGTACAATTCTTCCAGTGGCCCCTTGCCTGCAGATGGTGAATAGGTGCTTGAGCCGCTGCATTCAATCGAGCTAGCAGCCCTAGCAGGCTTGCATAGGCCTGCCAAAATATTCTATGTCAAGTGCAAAAGATCCCGCTGTTGACGCATATCACGGCGGTTTTCCAGAAATTTTCTCAATGCAGAGAATGTTCCATGTTTGTTGATAGATGTGGATAGCTTGGTCCTCGAAAAAATGTCCCTTGAAGGGATCCAACTCGGTGTCTCCAAGGAGATACCTGGGGATACAACTTCCAAGGGCCTTTGCCTCGAGCTCTGTTGTATCGGCCGCTTGGGCGCCAAAGTCCGTTATCTCCAGTAGTGCTGGCCGATCATAACACAATGTGGACTTTGGATATCTACAATGAAACCATATGAAGCCATTGAAGCCATTGGATTTTCATGGATTTTCCTTTGCCATGTTTGTTTACTAGATTTTACTAGTGCAAACATGTGCAAACCACGATGAAGTTGGTGTCCCACCTTGGGTTGTGAAGGTGGTTTGTCCAGACGTGGGGTATACTGTCTGTTCCAATTTGTGGCTACTTGTCGGGGAAACAAATGAGAAACCATGGGGGTTGGGAGTTATTCCCATTCTTTGGGACAAATCCATGAGCCCAGGAAGGGATACAAGAATCCCAAGAAGTACGACGGACCGCTTGATGCTTGACCCAGACATTCAGCATGTTGAAGCCATAGCTACAGATCAGTTCAACATTGAAGCTGGATTCAGAACGACCTCATCGCTTAGAATCGATGCACTACCCCAAGCTATCCACACCAAGAATAAAATTGGCCAGGGGATCTCTAAGTTTTAGCATGTTTAAGCTGTTAAGCCACGTATACTGTATAAGAGGGCTGCCTCGCTTCGCCTTTTGGATGGCAATGCGCACCGGTGCGACTCCAATTTGTGCGAAGGTCCCTGAGTTATTTGTGGATCTAAGGAAGGTCCAGACGATTTGATTGAGCCTTGGCATCCAGTTCAGTATGATTCGAGCAGTTCCTACATTTTACAGCAGCTAGGCTTTCTGTTTTGGCAAGGTTTGCCAGCCGGAATCTCTCATCGATGTGTTGGCTTCGAACAGATCCAGGGACTGCTGCAGCTGAGGATTGGATGAAGGAGGAGGTGGCCAATTACATGAAGGACCCATACCCATGAACCAGTGAAGACGGCGTCCATCAAGAAATCACATACTACGGCAATAAATAGTATAAATAGGGAAAACACCTGAAAAAACAATGGTCAACAAGTCAAGCCACAGAAGAATGGTTGATCTGATCTATATATTTCTTTTTAAATTATTCCAATGATGTTCGATGCCGCCACGTTCTTTCGAAGATGTTTGTAGCGTTTGAAAACGCTGGGTGACCTCGTGACCTCAACGTGACAACTGCTCTGATCCCATGCCAGGATGACCCCCAACGGTTTCCAAGGAATGAATTGTAGGTGGCTTGGCTGGCATGACTGCTGTCAGCCATTGTTTGAGCCAAGTCACCAAGTCACTAAAATTTATGGTACCCCCCTGCACACATCTGCACACCAAGATGGACCCGAAAAAAAAGATGGCGCAAACCAAAGATGATTTCCTTCATACGAATTGCCACTTTTGGAAGGTCCCATCATGGCTGTGCTGCGTACGTTCCATTTGGTTCCATTTGGGGGTCCCATGGCCATGGTCCTCATCAAAAATGGCCTCTCCGGCCTCAAGGTGAACCGTTCGCCGCAGCTCAGTGCGTATTTCCGGTGACACAAAAAGCGTGGGATTCTGCGGAGGGTGCGGTCGCCAGTGTTCAAAAATTGAGATTCGGTCAGCGGATGTTTGTGAGATTCTTCAGGAAGCACGAGATTGATCCGGTAAGAGGATGATTTCACTAATACGGAAATGTCATTTTCCAGAACTGCTTGGTTGTTTGAACTTCACTGAACCTGTTTTTTTTGCATCCAGGATGTCCGAGAGAAAAAATGCTGGGGCAGGGGCCTTTTTGTTGTTTTGCTCCACTTTCCCTAACCAGTTTGGCAGCTAAAGCCTTGCTAAAGCCGTGCCCGTTTGGTGGCCAAGGCCAATCATTAAAGATGGCTGGTTGAATGAGCTGGGGAATCTCGGCTGTGTCAAGTGCCCGTTTCAAGTATCGATGGCTTATTTCCAAAAGTATCGATTGCATGAACCAACCAGGAATTAAATCATTTGGATTTCTTTGAAGATAGGGCACCCAAATTGCATGGTTGATCATTACTGATATTACTGACCTATAATATATATATATATAATATATATATATATATATATATGAATTTACCAATGACTCCCGTTTTTGGATAAACCCATATAGATTTCTCTGGAAATGCGCCTAGCTGTCCATCCAGGCGCGCAGTTCTGCATGATGCGCAGAAGTTGGCAAAGATTTTCATCCAAAGCATGTGCCCAGGGGAGGATGGCGGGAGGATGGTACGTTGACATCGGGATCACATGCTACGGACGCCCATTATGTCCATTGCGGGAGGGAAAAAGCAATGAAAAACAGGCAATCATCCCGTAGATCGCTGGAAGTTGATTCCATTTCTAGGGGCTGATCCGATTTGAGAACTTTCGAGGGCATGCAGGTGTGGACATCCCGCACTGCAACATGCGGAAGACAATGCTGCTGTTTCTTTGAAGCAGGAATTTGATGTGGAGCAGGTGCTCCAGAAATTACTTTTGATCATTGAAGTGACTTTGCCTTTGATGCATATCCATCAGACAGTCGCATTCCTATCCAATCGTGGGTTCACATGATGCACATTGATGCACCACATCTTACACCGCGTCAGGTCTTACAGAAAGACTGATGGATCCAAGAGCGATGTACAGAAGTTGCGCATTCGACTAGCCTGCTGGGGCCCCGGGTATGCTGCATAGGACTACCTATCCATGGCAGGCACAGTTCGCTCCATTCTGTATTGTTTATGGAGCAACATGGATCAACATTAATTCCCCTCAAGTTAGCTGGTTTGATCAGCAGTTTGATAGTTTGTGTGTTTCTGGGCTGGTTGCTGCTCTATTTGGGATCACTGTGCCCCATATAAATTGTTCCACATCATTCCGATCGCTGGTGGTTTGGTTTACATCAGATCCTTGATTCTGCGGCCGAAGTCTTCATGCTGTTACTTGATTATCTCACTTTGGGCGCATGAATCACCTGTTTATTTTCATTGAAGTAATGTTTCCCGGTGTTTCCTGTATAGATCATAGATGTTCCCTTCAATACCATCGATGTTTGGGTCACCAAAGGCCCACGGTTTCTTCGGTGGTTCACCGGGACAGGTGTTGATCACGTGCAATGCCCCCGAGTTCACTGGGATGACGTCCCGCTCAGATTAGCTCGGGGGCCAGGGATGAAAATGGCTGGATCCGTTTTTTTATGGTGGTTCCAGATGGGGATTTCTTGTGATGATGTGGGGTTACCGGGGTTACCTCTACTTTAAACCTCCAATATTCTGAATGGATGTTTGGTTTCTGAAAGGTGAGAAAACAAATCCAAAAGCCGAGTTGAAGATGATTTTGCAATTCAATATTCCCAAGTCTGGAGGTTGGGACTTTTGATGTAATCAGAGCATTGGGATGGGTCAGAAGCTGCAATTGTTTGCAGCTTTGGCTCAAACTCCTTGAAGGGAGTCCAAACTAGTAGAAGGTATGGCAGGTATGGAGCAAAATTCACAAGGTCATTGAACCTGTGTGTTGACAGTAGGAATTGAACACCTTCACCTATTGTCATTTATGGATCGTGATTTTTTTTGTCAACCTGTCAATGTCTCCACAACAGGCAAGTTGAAGAAATCAGGGACTGTTGCCCAAAACCCTGCTGGCTTCTTGCATCCAAATCCTTCAAGACGATGCCTGACTAGCCTTCTATATTCTATTTCTTGGACACTGCATTTTCTGGTCCTGTCCAGTTGAAACAGAAAAGCCAAGCTGCAGGAGCCCCCTAGGCCGCTGATGGATGGCACCATGTCCACCTTGGAGAGTCAGATCTCCACAGCGGGGCTGGAGCATAATGCCTCGCTGCGGCAGAAACTGGAGGAGTTACTTGGGCAGAAATCCTCGTAACACCCTGTTTTTCACCTTTTTGGCTGGCATATATAATATTATATATTAATATATGGACGTTGTTATCCCATGATGTGCCCCCAACATGTTTATGGATGCATCAATCAATATGTCAGTCATATTCCTATCCCATGTGTCCCCCCAGTTTTGTACGGAAACTTATTGGTGACCCATCCCCAAGTGTCAGATGTTGAAGGACCATCAAAAAATCGGAACCAAAGTGACAGATGTGCTGCAGGATTTCGATGGATTTCGGCCATGGTTTCAATGTTGTTTTAATCTAATTCCTCTAATTTCCTCTATATTCTTGTTGGATTTTCCAAGTTCTTGGACACCCCTGAAGCTAGCAGCCAGAAAAGAATGCGGGATCAACAACATATTAATATGTTTGTGCTTTCCTTCAGTGTCAGCTTAAAGTTAGTGTGTGCGGTTGCCTGTTGAAACATCCGCCCGGGTGCTCATTTCTTTAGTAGCCCAGCCCGTGCTTAGAAACATCCCAAGGTTACATAGTGTGTTACATTGTGTGTGTGTTTTTGCTTTCAAGATTGAGTATGGTCAATACAATACATGGCTGGGTTATCTCCTATCATCTCTATATACATAACGGACATAATGATTTGCCATAAACAAAGAGATACTCCCATCATCTCCCATCCATCCATCCATCTCCCCAATATCAAACATCCCCATTCTATGGTCGAAATATGCATAAATATCCTATTAAACCATGGTTTCTTAAAGCATGGGTCTTTCTATAAACCATAAACATCCATAGGCCATATAACAGGTCGGTATTGTTTTTCACTAAATATATCAGAAATTGGGACCATAGAATTAATAAAGATCATATCAATATATATATATAGATACATATCAATCATATCCCCCCAACATGAAATATTCCCTACATCCACCTTTGGCCAGGTTGGCCAGCGCCATGGATCGCCTTGACGCAAGGCAAGCCTTGCGACAGCAGCGCGGCACCGCGCAGGAGATGGGGATCTATGAGAGTTGCGTCAGCGCGTTGCCGGACTTCTCACAGGCCAAATCTCTCTGATTTCTGTTCGAGAAAAGAAGGAGAGAGATTGGTGAAGGGTTCATTGCTGGTGAATGGATGTTTATGGTTAGTTGAAAAAAACTAATGGTTATTGATGGTTGTTGGTAATTGATGGTTAGTTGATGTTTACTGTTTGCTGGTTAATTGAACGGATATTGATGGCTGTTAATTACAAAAGGATCAATGAAAACTGGATAAGTCAATTAGCTGATAGTTAGACATGGGGAGAGAAACCAGCTCCGAACGGCAGGTATTCGACTGGCTTTAAGCCCAAGTGCAAGTAAATTTCAATATGTTGGGATATGGTCGGCTGATGCCGGCTGTGAGATGCGTGTTGGACGGCATCTCTCAATTCAGATTAAACCTGCACATCTATAGAGTCCGCGTCAGATGGACCTTTTGTCGAAGCACTGGTGTTTGCAATGTTTGCCCGGGGACACAAAGGCTCATGTTTGTCCCCATTCTTTCTGGTTAGACAACCAGTAATTGGTATCCCAATGAGGCCCAGAAACACTTACCATGCCATGTATGCTTGGAATGAGGTTGTGTGGCGGGGAGAGGAACACAATAGAACATGCCAACGCTAGAATGGTTTCTAAAGATCATGTTTTGCATTCATCCCGTTGTCGCCGGCAATGTTGTTGATCATCCGAATCCGTATTTCTGGCCATCAACACACCCATTCGCTAATGCTCTGAGCTTGTCCATAGTGCATGATAATAGATGATAATAGTGGGATCAGCATTTTTTGTTACCAATTGGATCGAATTGGACTATATCCTCAATGAGTACGCCCAGCTCGCTTCTTCTATTTATATTATCTCAAAATTATATGAACAAAAACAATATATATATATATATATTTATTTATTTATGTATATAATTGTATATATCACATATATATATATAATTATATATGAATGTAGTTTCTGGATGTTTCTGGTGATTTCCTCCGTTTCCCACCGAGCCTGGATCATCCCGGCCAGGCGGAGGAGGTCCACTGCCCCGCCTGCGCACCGCTTCCGCCGCGGTTCCGGAACGACGGCGGCGGCTCGCCGGTGCCGCCGTGGATCCGAGCAGAGGTGGACTGGCGGCGTCAACATACCGAGGTGCCGGGGCATGGCCATGGGGGGATGGGGATAGTGGATTTACCCTCTGGTAAACAAAGAGGTTGCTATTGAACATGGCCATAGAAATAGTGGATTTTCCCATCAAACATGGTGATTTTCCATGGTTATGTTAGTTTACCAGAGGGTAACTCCAGAACCATTGATATATATGATCACTATAGGATATCACTAGGATATTCCTAATTTTGGGGATAAGAATTGAACATGGATGAAACATGTCTACCATAATCATATTACTAATCATTGATTGTTTTGAATGGTATTTATGGTTTTGAGATTCAATAGAGATATGATTAAAGGAAACATCTCATAAATGGTATACGGTATACGAAAAAATTAGATACAACTGATGATAATTTCACCGTACTAAGCCATTAATGATATTCCATCACCTCCTACATAACATCTTATTAAATATAATTGACATATATGGATAACTCTGGAATGTCCCCGGTGATATAAATGGGTTATAGCCAGGGTAATCCAACATAGCTATGGAAATCCACCTGTTTATTCATAGCTACGTGAGTGTACTAGTACTATAAGACCTGTCAAGAATTTGGGTGTAATTGCCAGAACTGAGGAATTCATGGTTGTTTGATGGATTTGCCATGCCCCCAAGTGCGACCTTGAGAATTGCCCATTTTGTATAGGAAAGTCTAACTTTGCAGGTCCGGATGTTGGGCTTGGTTTCGGCATGTTTCGGCATGGTGTTTTGGTCTGTAGGCCTTGACCTGGTACCGAAGCCTCCCAGCCCAACAGCCCAAGCCTCTTCAGTTTTATTGGATGTGTCAGTTTGCCATAGGCCCATAGGCCATAGGTATCCATGGTATCCCCAAACCATCCCAGGCTCCTTGGTTGATCTTTTGATCAGCCTTGAGGTCTTGAATCAAAGGATCGAAGTGCTTGAACGTGAGAAGTCCCTTTGGGAGCAGAAGCTGCGGAAACTTCGCAGCAACAGCCCAGGCCACACCGATGGTGTCAGGAGGGCTGTGGAGTGATGCTTCCCCAGCTTCAGAAAACCAGATATCTTGAGTTTTAACACCTTTGAAGTGGTCCCCTGAGAAGAACAATTTTGCAAAGTCTTGCTTCCAATGCATCACCGTACTGTAGTAAGCAATCCTAAGGTGGCGAAGGGTGACTGTCAACGTTTCAAGTTCAGACGCTACCCTTCCACTGTGGTCAGTGCCACTTCAAAAACCATGTCACAAATATCCCCAGATTGTCAATGTTCAGTGCGTACGACTCTGAACCGTTTGACTTTCTTCAAGAATGCTCCAGTTGGGGAACTTGGGAAGCGGTAGCTGGGCATATTTCATGTCCCGAAAGATCCAGAGATGATCCTAGCAGTACCGCACTGCTTAGATTATTAATGCATCTCGTAAACAGCACTGTTGAATAATCACCCATAGATACCTGGGATGAACTGGGGATATCACTTCTATAATTAGCTGGGTCATTATTAACCAAGGATAACCAAGGTTATTTACCGTTTCTGCAGGTGCTTCACCTCCACCTGCGCCAGGCACATCTTCTCGCAACAAGATCTTCCAACTCTTCCCCAAGGAGCCAGCCGTCCCAGCTGCCGACACGGCCGACACCCTGCCTGGCAAAGTGACGGTGCATACGGCGCACGCTTGGGGGGTAGGAGCTACGGCGTTGAAGGGATCTGCCAGGGATGTCTATGAGAAGATGCTCAACCCGTGACTTGCTGCTGAAGATTGTGATGGATATTATTTGATTAATTTTGATAATAAATACCCTCTGGTAAACAAACAGGTTGTTATTGAAAATGGCCATAGAAATAGTTGATTTTCCCATTAAAAATGGTGATTTTCAATAGCTATGTTAGTTTACCAGAGGGTACGTGTTTTGATAATGATGAGGATGAGGAGAATTTAGTGATCAGGCAGGGGGCTATGTCTCAACAGCCATGCTTATGTCATGGTTTGTTTGATGGATTTGCAACATCTGCAACAAAAGCAGCACCACCAGAACCATCACCATCTGGCTATTTGTTCTCTTTGGTTTCGTCAAGGCTCATAACTTCTGAAGCAGTTTTACGGCAAATACGATCACCTCCGTTCCATTCAAGAATTACCTTCTGGTAAGCAAACGTGGCAATTGAAAATCCAACATTTATCGATGATATTCCTTTTTAAAACCCCGTTTATAGATGTTTATAGTGGATTTTCCATTGCTATCTTTGACTACCGGAGGGTATATTCCCCATTGAACTGCTGAACGAGTTCCCCCTGGCCCCAAGGCAGCCGCTGCAATTCATCGCTCCACCCAAGCGCGAGCGCGAACGACTTCAGGAGGAGAAGGCCATTGAGGCTCAGAGAAAACAGCAGGAGGAGCGCGCGGAGGAAGACAAAATGCAGCAAGAACTGGGGCAACATTTGGCCAACCGACAGGATGGGAAATGATGGGAAGATGGGAAAGTTGGTGGCAAGAACTTTAGTTGTAGCGATTCTATTTGTTTGAGCTCTCACCAATCGGGAGAGCCTTTTTGGGGGTTCGTGGGGAATGGTTCAGAGAATGAGTGAGAGAAAGTGGGAGGAGAGAATGGTTCAGAGAATGAGTGAGAGAATGATCAACGATGTGAAATGAACAAATACATTGTTCAGGCGTTCACATTGTGTTTTGCATTGCTGTGATGCTCTTGTCTCCCCATTGTAAATCTTTGTTTGTAGATGGTTTTTTTGAGTGATGAACTTCTTGGGGTAGCATATGAGGCCGTATAAAATCCAGTGAATCCCATATCGATAACACAACACATTGACGAAAATCATGAAAGTACCATTAAAATCCAACTTTTCCTGGAAACATCCATTAAATTCCCTTAGCAAATCCACTCAGAAGCATTAACAACCATTTATATATATACATATCTTCTATGTATCCAGAAAAAAAGTTGATGACTAAATCCCTTCATTTTAAGATCCTTAAATCCCATTGTTATCCCATTATCCCCTTTTTTTCAGCTTAAAAATCGGTGAGATCCTAGGCTCCTTAAATCCCATTGTTATCCCATTGTTATCCCATAGTTGATGATTAAATCCCCATTAACTATAGTTATATCTACCATAAACCATTGAATTCAGCCACTTATAAACCAACTTAGCTATCTTGGCGGCCCCATCCTGTAGGACCGGTGAACAAAAATCGGCTGCGTTAGGAGCTCCGTTCTGCTCTGCAACGGGAGCTGCAGGCCATGCGCTGCCTGGAGGCCGAGCGGCAGCGCGGCCGGGAGGCACTCAGGGCCACCTTGTCGCGTGGCGTTGCAATGCGTTGCACGTTGCCGGAAATGCTGGGTTTTGCCATGGTTTGCCATGGGAAAAATGCTGAATGTCCTAAGAAATCTAAGAAAAGTGCTGGGAAAATGCTGGTTTTACTGTTTTACAAGCAATAAATGGTGGATTTATCGACTTTTTCCTGGGGCTTTGCCACAAAACATATGGATTAAGCATGGTGGTTTTAGCATGAAACATGATGAATTCACTAAGAAAATTGTGGTTTTAACATGTTTTACCTGATTTGGCTTGGAACAAATGGTGGTTTAACAATACAAACAATAGGGTTTAAAACTATAATGTAGGATTAGGAAAAGAATGAATTTGAATATGAGAAATGAGGATGCGACCATCACAAACTCGGAAAATGGAGATACAACCAACAATGATTATAGGGGGATAAAATTGACGAACTAAATCTAATGTAGTGTGAATATGTGTGAATCTCAGACCCCAGGATGCATTTGTTTGCACGTTGTCCACAGGGAACCTCTGACAGGTGATTTGAAACATTTATTCAGTGCTGGTGGCTGCCATGATCCTTTCTCACATAGCGGCCGCCGCCATGAGTTTCGCAGTTTCAAAAAAAAAACACATCAATAATTCCTTCCTTGTGCCGTTGTTTGTGGTGTTGCATCCCGGTTTTAGTGGTGTTGCATCCCGGTTTTAGTGGTGTTGCATCCTGGATATTTAGGAGAACCTGTAGGAAGATGGGGTATGTGCCAATCCAATCGTCCAATGGCACCATGTTCCGTTCCAAGGCAAGATGAGCTGCAACAGCAGCTGCGCCAGGAGAAGAGGTCTGATGGCATCGTGTTTTTTTTTTGTCAGATTGGCTCAAGATGGATGACCCCGAAACATCCCGGGGATGTTGAAAATGAAAGTTCGTTCTTTCTGGAACTTTGATATCCCTATTGAAAGATGAAGGTATACGAAGGTTGAAGAATTACCAACTGAAAAAAGGAGCCAAAACTGGCGAGTTGAATAATTACCAAGTAGACATGTCCAAAATCCCAAGATGAACACTAATGAACAATTTATGCAAGGCCAATTCTTGAGCCACTTCCAGTTGATTTTCCTTTACCAAAGCGGCGACGTTCAATTGCCAGCAAATGCTGTGCTTTTGAGCTTGCAACTTCGGACCCACTATATTTATGTCAATTTATATGTGTACACAATTGTACATATTACGGACATTTAATTTGATCTACGCTTCTAGGAAACTCAACGCATATGTGTTATATATATAATTATATAAATATACTATAACTGAGTGGTTATTATTATCTGTCCTGCTATTATTTAAAAAGAACATTATCAAACAACAATTCATCACACCTTTTGTGCCCATCGCAGCTCTCAGGGCATGGCAAGTGGAGCAGGAACGGCAAGAGCTGCAGCGACGCGCCCAGGATCAACGCCGTGCCGAGGTTCATCGAGAAATGCAGCACCTCGAGTGGCCCAGATGCAGCCAGCCATAGCCATGCCCAGTGGACCATGGGGGTTTGATTGGGGTTTAACGTGGTGGAAAACTTGAAAGGGTTTAACGTGGTGGAAAACTTGAAAACCATCCCGAAATAAAGGATATAAAAATCATATTTAATGGGTATATAACCCAGAAATAGCATTTTTTTGGATCTATACCGTAATACCCGTTATCTATGATCGTTGGTAATCAAACATGGCTAGCTGGAAAATCCACCTATCAATGGAGGTTTCTAGTTGGGAAAATGATCTAAAAGGCTGGATGTTGCAGCTGGGAATATTGCATGGGGATTGCATGGATTTCATGAGATGAAGATCCATAACTGGAATGATAGTGCTCGCGTTGGGATAAACATCCCAAAATGACAGAACTTGTCAATCCTTGTCATTTATCCAGATATCATGGCTTATAGGGAAGTTCGTTTTCAAATTAGGAGCTATTGTTGCGAAAAAAACACGTGCAATTGGGGATTTCCACTCGGTTCCTGCAGGGCAAGTAGCCACTAGACTGCACTTTTGTGGCGGGCACAGGTTGGAGAGGTTGCTTGACAAGCTGGCCCTGCAGATCCTCGGTTTTTGGGGGTTGGATTGTTTCCCCCAGGCTTGGGGAAATGGAGTGAAGTATGGGTGCCTGAAGATGCCGCCCAAAACTTGAATAATTGTTCAAACCTCAGTGAATATCTCATTATTCAAAACTCAATCTCACTGACATCATGTCAAATTGTCATGATTATCGATGCCATCTGAAATCATGGATAATCATCTAAACTTAAACTCTGGTAATTTAACATTGCTATTGAAAATGACCATTTTTAGTGGATTTTCCCATTGAAAATGGTGATTTTCCATAGTTATGTTAGCTTACCAGAGGGTAAACTCATGTAAACTCATCTCGAATCCTCTCATGTTTTCCCAGGCGCAGCCTTCGCTCCCTGCCAGCCGCCTTCGACGAAGAGAAGCTGCTGGAGCTGTGGAAGCTGCGCTTGGCCAAGGATCCCATGGAGGACATGAAGGAGATCCCTGAGGCGAAACCATGGCGAAACCATGGGAGATTTATGGATTTTATGGTGATCTTATATGATCTTATGCTGATTTTATGGTGTGTGTTTTTTTTTTGGTTGAGGAGGAAATCATGGTGATTTCTGCTGATTTGAGCAACACCAATCATTGGATTTGACCGTCAAACATTGCGATTTAACCGGCCAGAAGGGTGGTATAATAATTAGAATGGAATGGATGCAATGAGGATAGATCTTGGATATAGAGAGAACCAATCCCCTGTGATAATATGTTGGTTTTACCATGTTTTACTGTACTTTATGTCAAAGAATGGATTTAGTGGGTTTATGATCGGGGTTCTAATGTTTCGGAATGTCAACGGATTTTGCTATTTGGATATGGCTTTGTTTCTTTACAAGGACAACATATCTGACACAATTTGACATTTACTGTAGCCAAAAACTTGGACAATTGGCAAAATTAGAATAGAATTTTGGTGTAACAATATTGGAAAGTTGAACAGGAAGAAAGGCATCCAAGAAACAACAAGACCTAGCCTAGCTAGCTGTAACTAACACACAAATGAAGACCCAAAGCAACAAAAAATGGTTCCAGTGACAACAGTGAATATGATTACTTACATGTTTGTGTGTAATCAAACATGCCAATACCATTTGTAAATGAATTTCCCATGGAATGTCCATGCATTTCCCATTGCCACGTTACTTGGAGGGTAAGTTTCAACAACAGGTTGATGGGTCCACAGTTGTTGAATTCTCTGCTCCACCTCTGAGAGCAAGCTGGGAAGGTGACTGAGGATTTACCGGCGGAACTGCTGGGAATGGAGGAATGGTTGCTGTTCTACGGGGATCTGTGATTTGCTCGCAGATGAGGGCCCGTGGGAAAAAACATGATCTTTGAGATGATAATCATCAAGCATTGTCTGAAGAAAGGGCTGGTATTTGCACAGTTTAAATCTGTACTACATCTGTATAGATCATGCAGGAAGAGGAGGCTCCTGTTCGATTGTCACAGGGTAATGCCATTGATGGGCTTGATTTTCTGTTGGATGTTTTCACCTTACAGGTGATTGCCGGCATGTTGATGGGCATGGCATGGTGTTTGTTTGGGGTGGGGGTGGGGTCGCCCATATACCGTGTATACCAGTTGCAATGCAAGAGTTGCTGCAACTAAGCATATGTTCCCAGTTTTGTTCATCAGGTCCCATTTTTTCCGGCTAATTGGACACTTCTTGAAATTTTCCAAAATTGGGGTTCCCCCTAATCATTAGATTTGGGTAACTATGGGTTAGTATGGTTTAACATGGTTAAACCGTCCTGAAATGTTTCTTGCCTGAACCACTCTTCACATCTCTTCACTCGATCCCTCAGGTTGAACGGAACTTCCAGGGACAAGGTTGCCGACATCGATGCACTGGAGCAAGCCTTCATGGTGATATCTCGCACCCAAAACTGCTTCGACATGGCGATGGTCAATGAAGCCAAGGACAGCGGTGGCCAGGGCTCGGGCAACAACCAAACAATGGTGGCATACTGCGACATACTGTTCACTGTTGAAATGGTCAATGTGGCGCTTAATATTAAAAGAAACTGTTGCATATAATAGCACTTATAGAAATGTGCGTGTGTGTGTGTGTGCGTGTCTGTCTGTGTGTGTGTTTGTGTCCCCGTGTTATGATGATGCAATCCCGATAATGCATTTTGTACAATATCCAATTATCTATACCTATCTATCGATCGAATCTATCTATATAATCTAATCTAAGCTATCTTAGTTTTGTTTAATGATTATGTTTACTTTATTTTATCTGATCTTAATTAATTTTATCATAATCTATCTATCTATCCTGTATCTATCTTATCTTACAGTGTCTTATCTTATCCTTATCCTTATCCTTATCCTTATCGTATCTTTATCTTTATCTGTATCTATCTTATCTATCTATCTATCGATCGATCTATCTATCTATCTATCTATCTATCTATCTATCTATCTATCTATCTATCTATCTATCTATCTATCTATCTATCTATCTATCTATATCTATCTATCTATCTATCTATCTATCTATCTATCTATCTATCTATCTATCTATCTATCTATCTATATCTATCTATCTATCTATCTATCTATCTATCTATCTATCTATCTATCTATCTATCTATCTATCTATCTATCTATCTATCTATCTATCTATCTATCTATCTATCTATCTATCTTATCTATCTTATCTATCTTATCTATCTTATCTATCTTATCTATCTTATCTATCTTATCTATCTTATCTATCTTATCTATCTTATCTATCTTATCTATCTTATCTATCTAATCTATCTATCTATCTATCTATCTATCTATCTATCTATCTATCTATCTATCTATCTATCTATCTATCTATCTATCTATCTATCTATCACCGCCATGCATCAGCCCTGAAACAACCAGGAGAGCCTCTCGACCCCGGGAGTGGTGAAGATGATGCTTAGTTATTGGCTGCAGCATTGCGACGCACGTTGGCGTTCTTCGTCGCAGGAGGGTAACCTGATACAGCCTCCAGAAGGTGCCCCTGTTGATAAACAAAGGGTATATAGCCGAAAGTGTCGTAGTCCTCATCCTCCTCATCAGCGTCGGCGTCAGCGCCATCGCCGCCACCACCACCACCACCACCACCGCCACCGCCACCGCCACCGCCACCACCACCACCACCACCACCACCACCACCACCACCCAGCAGCAGCAGCAGCAGCACCACCACCAGCACCAGCGTCAGCATCAGCGTCAGCGTCAGCGTCATCGTCATCGTCATCCTCATCGTCATCATCATCATCATCATCATCATGTCAGAATCACTGCTTTCCATGTTCTTGAGCAAGAACAAGAAAGAAACAACATGGAGGCCTTCAGCACGACTTCCAGCCTTCAGCATGCAGAATGCCAAGTCACTATGAACCCATCCTTCCACTGGTATGTACATGGGCGTTTCTGATAAAGTGGCATACAGCCACCTCCCAAATGGCCATTTGAATAGGGATAGTGATGATTAACCGGTGGATTTAGGGAACCAAATTTTCAGACAAAGCCAGATGTCAGCTTCTCATCCGCATCCGCTGTCAACTCGCCAGGTGATGAAGCTTCCATCCATAGCAGCTCTCCCCTGGAGGATGCCATCGTCCAACCACCTGCAGGGCGCCATGTGGAGGAGGATGGCCCGGAAAATGCATGGCCCAGCCGGGCCAGTGTACCTGAAGACCACCAGCAAACGGCATCTTTGACACAGACTTTGGATCCGGAAAATGCTCAGCGTTCTCAGTCACTGGCAGATGAAGCAGGAGCCCAACTGCAGCATACCAGAACGTCCCTGACCAGCAGGCTCCAAATCCAGCGGCATGACGATGATGCTTGGGGGGAGGCCGCTAGTCAGACTGGCCAGGAGAATCATAAGGAAGAAGCTGCCGTCACCAAAGAAAGACAGGGCAGTCATAGCGGGTCAAAGGTAACAAATGACCAAAACCTCGCATGGCAGAGAACAAGAACCTCCCTTGCCAGCAGGGCCCCAGTGCAACGGCATGATGATGATGCTTGGGAGTCTTCCAGTCACAACAGTCGTGGATCGAAAGGGCCGGAGGCTCACAAGAAAGGACCCTGTTTGATGCAGAGTTCACACACCAAGAGCAGGCAACTTTCTGATCCAGCGGCAGCAGATGCCAAGGCTCCTGCGGATCATCAGAGGACTTCTGCAAGCGCGGGCCCTGTGCAAAAGGATGATGATGGCTGGGGTTCAGACTGGGGTTCGGCCAGGCCCAGCCAAGCAAGCGTGCCTGAGGATCACAAGAAGCAAGCATCCTCTTTGACTCAGAGTTTGTATGCCAGATATGCTGAACGTTCGGATCCAGCAGCAGATGATGCCAAGGCCCCTGCGCATCATCAGAGGACTTCTGCAAGCGCGGGCCCTGTGCAAAAGGATGATGATGGCTGGGGTTCAGACCACTGGGGTTCGGCCAGGCCCAGCCAAGCAAGCGTGCCTGAGGATCACAAGAAGCAAGCAGCCTCTTTGACTCAAAGTTTGTATGCCAGATATGCTGAACGTTCGGATCCAGCAGCAGATGATGCCAAGGCCCCTGCGCATCATCAGAGGACTTCTGCAAGCGCGGGCCCTGTGCAAAAGGATGATGATGGCTGGGGTTCAGACCACTGGGGTTCGGCCAGGCCCAGCCAAGCAAGTGTGCCTGAGGATCACAAGAAGCAAGCAGCCTCTTTGACTCAGAGTTTGTATGCCAGATATGCTGAACGTTCGGATCCAGCAGCAGATGATGCCAAGGCCCCAGCGGGTCACCAGAGGACTTCTGCAAGCGCGGGCCCTGTGCAAAAGGATGATGATGGCTGGGGTTCAGACTGGGGTTCGGCCAGGCCCAGCCAAGCAAGTGTGCCTGAGGATCACAAGAAGCAAGCAGCCTCTTTGACTCAGAGTTTGTATGCCAGATATGCTGAACGTTCGGATCCAGCAGCAGATGATGCCAAGGCCCCAGCGGGTCACCAGAGGACTTCTGCAAGCGCGGGCCCTGTGCAAAAGGATGATGATGGCTAGGGTTCAGACTGGGGTTCGGCCAGGCCCAGCCAAGCAAGTGTGCCTGAGGATCACAAGAAGCAAGCAGCCTCTTTGACTCAGAGTTTGTATGCCAGATATGCTGAACGTTCGGATCCAGCAGCAGATGATGCCAAGGCCCCAGCGGGTCACCAGAGGACTTCGGCAACTGTCGTGCAGCAAGCAGAGCACGACGTGCGGAAGGTGTCTTCTGTGCATAGCGGGCAGGATTTGAGTGCCCCCAAACCTTCAGATGCTGACCAGGTAGCAGAAACTGTTGAAGAGGAAGAAGAGGTCTTTACGAAAGAGTAGCTTGTCCTTTCATAGTTTGGGTGCATGCAGGCTGACATGCGTATTATGTGTCAATTTGTGCGATAAACATTGATAAAGTTGTTCAGCAAGCACGAACCAAATTTACGTCTACGTTGAAGGCTTGGGCGGGTGAGTCATAGAGTAGACCAGCTCCTGCTGTCACACAACATCACAAAATCATTGGATAATGGCGACTGCCCCTTGACCCGAACCCAGAATACTTTGTGGAATGCCTGCCATTCCAAAGACAGAGTTTATATTGGATTCACTATGATTCAACTATAGTCATCCATCCCCCAATAGATGGACAAATATAGAAAAGTAAATCCCAACAGTCCCCACATATCCCTATGCCAATTTTCTTTACTTTTCCATCTATTTGGGGCTATGATTCGAGGCAGTGGGTGAATTGGTTCAAGACTGCGGAACTAGAGGAGGCGCAACATGGTTGGTATGCCGGTATGCACCCAGCACGGCCATTGTTTAAAGGCAACATGATGATTAATCCAAAAAATATGGTGGTACAATATTTAATCATATGTTCAGACTTTCAGATAAACATATATCACCAGATCCTTCGCACAAAATATCAACAGTCTTCAACAAAACTCTGAAACTAATGATCTAATGTATGTGATAGATTATTGATAGATTGGTACAGATCAATTCATACTTGCATATCGCATGCGCATGTGTCAATGAGCGACGATCCATGTGGAGCACCATGGAGGATCTCCTATGGGGCCCCCACCTCCCTTTGGGTGTGTGGTTGCGACCTGTTGCAACGGATGATACGACGGATGGCCAGACCACCAACCAATCAGTGTTAGTGTTCTATTCATTGGTTGGTTCACATAGGACATATAATATATCCCTAGTAAAATCATGTTATTATTGATTGAACATTGGTTTGATATACTGTAGGTGGAATTCCAATGAGCATATCTGTTGCCATACATATCAGATCACCAGAAATGATTGAAAGAATATGTTGGCTGGGAAAACCGTAGTTTCCCGTAGGTGATTTCCCCTTCGCCCAAGAGAGTGTCATTCATAGCGACCAACATGTGTCTTTCTGCTTCGACCCCCCTACATTTCTCCATATTTCTCACCCCACAATACATCACCATATCAGCCACCATTTTACAGACAAATATAACTTCAATATCACACTTCACGGCTTTTTGGGGCTGCGATTTCGGGCCTTAGCATCAGCCGCCCAAATGGCTCAGAACACCGGGCTGTTAGGAGGAGATCCTGTTGCTCCAGAAGGCCCTGCAGTCCTTACAGGACCAGCAACAGCTGAGTCCGGAAGAAATCGCTGAGGCTTTGGGATCCTATCAGGACAGGGGGTTCCGACAGGGGGTCCCATCTGGGATCCACATGGGGAAGATGGTTGGTGTTTTATTTCATTTTTTGTTGATGGGAGGGTGGTTAAAGGTTAGTTTAGATGAATAGGGATACCCAAAAAAATCTTCAAAATGAACATGGATAGAGATGGATAGAGTTTTTTTTTGCAAGCGGACGTTTGCAGTGGCGAAGTGAGGAGATTTCTCATGGATTAAAAGTCTGAAACCCTGCAGGATGTGCCGGAGGAAGACCAGGATCAGTTGCCTTGGCCAATTAGCAGGGTGAATCCGTATGTGTTAGGCAGTTGGAGGATATCCATTTCGCCCCAGATGCCCAGCAGTCGTGCTTTGACCTAAGGTTGAAAGAATGGGCTCAATGGGCACTGGAAATCAATGACTCAGACTGAGCGTTGCAGAGTTATGTGCGAGTGAGAGCATGAGTTGGGTTGACCTCTTGCCCAAGAACAGTTGGGACAGTCAGAATCATTTTACGTCTTGCAGCAACCCTACCAAACAGCTCGACAACCCAAAGATCCCACTGTTTCTGGGCAAGGAGCCAACCCAAGATGTGATGATCATCACGCATCTTACTTCTGGCTGAAGTGCTGTCCATCAGCAATATTGTCGTCACAGTAGGAGGGTTTGATCATGTCTGGAGAGTTCAGCCTAAGTGTACTGTGCCTGGCTTTGGATGTCCATATTGCTGCCAAGTTTTTCCTATCCATCAATTGTTTCATTTTTGCACCTCAGATAGCCCTACTCTCCAGGGGTGAGGGCCTCGCTTCGGAACGCGTCTTGAGGGATCGCTTCGGAACGCGCTCTCATGCATCGCTTTCGAACGCGCCTCCTCACCATCATCATTATCATCATCATCATCATCATCGTCATCATCATCATCATCATCATCATCATCATCTTCATCTTCATTCCTCACCATCATCATCAGCATTTGCATCATGCTTCTTCTTCCGTTTATTCCTCTTCTTCTTCTTCTTCTTCTTCTTCTGGCCATCCTCTTCCTCATCAGCCTCATCCTCCTCATTATCCTCATCGTCAACAGCACGATCATCATCAACAGCATCATCAGCAGCATCATCAAGTTTCCGTGAAGTTGTGGAAAGGCGCAAGGTGCTGCGAAAAGAGGAGCTGGTGGACGCGTGTTGTGTGCACGACCGCAAGTACTTATGCACTGGGGTCTGTTTGATTTGAAGACATGCATGTAATTGGTGAAGGGCAGCTGTTTGATTTGATAGCAATGAATATGATTGTTCAAGGGGGGCTCGTTGATTTGATAGCAATGGATGTAATGGTTCAAGGGGGGCTCGTTGATTTGATAGCAATGAATATAATGGTTCAAGGGGGGCTGGTTGATTTGATAGCAATGAATGTAATGGTTCAAGGGGGGCCCAGGGGGGCTGGTTGATTTGATAGCAATGAATGTAATGGTTCAAGGGGGGCTGGTTGATTTGATAGCAATGAATGTAATGGTTCAAGGGGGGCTGGTTGATTTGATACCAATGAATGTAATGGTTCAAGGGGGGCTGGTTGATTTGATACCAATGAATGTAATTGTGCCAGGGGGGCTGGTTGATTTGATACCAATGAATGTAATGGTTCAAGGGGGGCTGGTTGATTTGATACCAATGAATGTAATGGTTCAAGGGGGGCTGGTTGATTTGATAGCAATGAATGTAATGGTTCAAGGGGGGCTGGTTGATTTGATACCAATGAATGTAATGGTTCAAGGGGGGCTGGTTGATTTGATAGCAATGAATGTAATTGTGCCAGGGGGGCTGGTTGATTTGATAGCAATGAATGTAATGGTTCAAGGGGGGCTGGTTGATTTGATAGCAATGAATGTAATGGTTCAAGGGGGGCTGGTTGATTTGATACCAATGAATGTAATTGTGCCAGGGGGGCTGGTTGATTTGATAGCAATGAATGCAATGGTTCAAGGGGGGCTGGTTGATTTGATAGCAATGAATGTAATGGTTCAAGGGGGGCTGGTTGATTTGATACCAATGAATGTAATTGTGCCAGGGGGGCTGGTTGATTTGATACAATGAATGTAATGGTTCAAGGGGGGCTGGTTGATTTGATACCAATGAACGTAATGTTCAAGGGGGCTGGTTGATTTGATACAATGAATGTAATTGTTCAAGGGGGGCTGGTTGATTTGATACCAATGAATGTAATGGTTCAAGGGGGGCTGGTTGATTTGATACCAATGAATGTAATGGTTCAAGGGGGGCTGGTTGATTTGATAGCAATGAATGTAATGGTTCAGGGGGGCTGGTTGATTTGATAGCAATGAATGTAATGGTTCAAGGGGGGCTGGTTGATTTGATAGCAATGAATGTAATGGTTCAAGGGGGGCTGGTTGATTTGATACCAATGAATGTAATGGTTCAAGGGGGGCTGGTTGATTTGATACCAATGAATGTAATGTTCAAGGGGGGCTGGTTGATTTGATAGCAATGAATGTAATGGTTCAAGGGGGGCTGGTTGATTTAGCAATGAATGTAATGGTTCAAGGGGGGCATTTGATAGCAATGAATGTAATGGTTCAAGGGGGGCTGGTTGATTTGATACCAATGAATGTAATGGTTCAAGGGGGGCTGGTTGATTTGATAATGAATGAATGTAATGGTTCAAGGGGGGCTGGTTGATTTGATAGCAATGAATGTAATGGTTCAAGGGGGGCTGGTTGATTTGATACCAATGAATGTCATGGTTCAAGGGGGGCTGGTTGATTTGATACCAATGAATGTAATGGTTCAAGGGGGGCTGGTTGATTTGATACCAATGAATGTAATGGTTCAAGGGGGGCTGGTTGATTTGATACCAATGAATGTAATGGTTCAAGGGGGGCTGGTTGATTTGATACCAATGAATGTCATGGTTCAAGGGGGGCTGGTTGATTTGATACCAAAGAATGTAATGGTTCAAGGGGGGCTGGTTGATTTGATACCAATGAATGTCATGGTTCAAGGGGGCGCTGGTTGATTTGATACCAATGAATGTCATGGTTCAAGGGGGGCTGGTTGATTTGATAGCAATGAATGTCATGGTTCAAGGGGGGCTGGTTGATTTGATACCAAAGAATGTAATGGTTCAAGGGGGGCTGGTTGATTTGATACCAATGAATGTCATGGTTCAAGGGGGGCTGGTTGATTTGATCTGACAATTGGCCCGTACCCGTGGCTCTTCTTACATCAAGTGCAACAAGATATAAACCCTAAAGGTGTCGTGGCTCTTCTTACATCAAGTGCAACAATATATAAACCCTAAAGGTGTCGTGGCTCTTCTTACATCAAGTGCAACAAGGTATAAACCCTAAAGGTGTCGTGGCTCTTCTTACATCAAGTGCAGCAAGATACAAACCCTAAAGGTGTCATGGCTGTCCTTTCATTAAGTGCAACAAGATATAAACCCTAAAGGTGTCGTGGCTCTCCTTACATGAAGTGCAACAAGATATAAACCCTAAAGGTGTCGTGGCTCTTCTTACATCAAGTGCAACAAGATATAAACCCTAAAGGTGTCATGGCTCTTCTTACATCAAGTGCAACAAGATATAAACCCTAAAGGTGTCGTGGCTCTTCTTACATCAAGTACAACAAGGCTTTTGTTTCATATATTCACCTTCATTTTCTGTGGCAGGCGTGGGACCTTTTGGCATCGACCTTCATTTTGCGTGGCAGGTGTGGCACTTTTGTACATGGACTGTCCTTTTACGTGGCAGGCGTGGGACTTTATGACATGGTTGAAACGAGTAAAATTCTCATACGAGGCGTTTTTTTGTGTTGGTCTCGCTTTGGAACGCGTTTTTCTTCCAAAGTCTCGCACCTGTCAGTAAATCTGATGTGTGTGTGTATGGCTGTGTTCTGAAGTGATGTTTGATTTTGTGTTCTGAAGTGATGCAAAATGGCTGTGTTCTAAAGTGATGCCTGAGAGTGTGTTCCAAAGTGATCCTGTTACCCTCTCCAGGCGTTTCCGGCGTTTCCACCACTCCGCCAAAGGCGGAGAAGAGGTGAAGCGTTGGGCATTCTAAGCTGCATCCAACGAATTCCTGTGTCGCATACCCAAGGCCGTTTGTTTGACGTCAAAGTGAAGGTTTCCCGAGAGTTGGGATCCAGTGGAAATTGAGGCAAAATACATGGGTCCTGTCATTCCCATTAAGGTTGTTGTTTAGCCTTCGGTAGAGTACGCTGGGGTACGCTGAATTCATTTTAGATGGGCAGGTAGCGCACTTGGAGCCGAAGCTTGCCCGTGAAAGAGGGGTAGGGGTTGCAGACGTTGGCGGGTTATGGCGGGTTCTGGCGCACAGAGGGTGTGAAACGGGACATCCCTGCACTATTATTGCCAATCATCAAGTAATTATAGTAGATCATAAGCATAAGCTCAGGTTCATACAAGATTCAGTCAAAGGTGAAGCACACCACGATCACCGGTTGCTTGTGCAATCTTGTGCAGCAGAGCTAAAAAAACAATCTGATAGCCGAAGAGTTTGCCACTCAGTCGGCTCAAGGTCCCGAACTTTCAACACCCTCAAATCTCTTTGGAGAGTTCTTGGATAACAAGCGGCCTGAAACTTTCAGAGCTGTGAACCATTAAAGGCATAATTACACAAATATATAAACATATATCAATAAGTATAAATATAAATATGTATATATATATATATTATATTATATATATATTTTATATTATATATATGTGTGTTTAATTCACACACGCATACATACAATATATATATATGTTGAATTATATTGCTACGGAATACCATGGTTGACGGCTACTAGTACCGTCCCTTTCATGCAAAAAAGGTAGTTGGCAGCGCCCACTGCCAGTGCATTTCCGCCAGATTTCCAGTTCCAAGTACTGAATGCCGTGCATGTGCTGAGCCATGCTACATTCCACTCGCAATCTTCTCACCAGGTGCAGGAGCTGGAAGTCAATTGCAAGTCAACGGAAGCCAGCCGAGAGTTCTAGGACTGGATTTGTCCCAGATTTGGTAGGACTCGATCTATCCAAAGCAAATTTTCGGAAAAAACTGAGACTTCTAGCAGAGAAGAGACGCCCGGACTTGATCATTGAAGCGTTTGCTCGGATGCAAGCACAAGGTTTTTCTGTAAGTGAACGCGACTTCACACTGGGGATCTCGACTTGTGGAAGGTCAAAACTATGGCAACACGCTTGCTGGCTCTGGGGCAAGATGCCAGATGCCAAGGCCAATCCAACCCTTTTTACCTACAGTGCTGCTATCACTGCTTGTGAAAAGGGTGGTCAATGGCAGAAGGCATCGGATTTGTTCGAGGAAATGCTGAAGAGCAAAGTGACCCCAGACGTCATCATCTACAATGCTACCATCAGCGCTTGCGAAAAAGGCGGTCAGTGGCAGCAGGCATTGAATTTATTTCATGCAATACGAAAAACCAAACTTACCCCGGACGTTATCAGCCACAATGCTGCCATCAGTGCTTCTGAGAAGGGCAGTCAATGGCAGCAGGCATTGAATTTGTTCGAGGTGATGCCGAGAGCTAACGTGTCCCGGAGCGTCATCAGCTTCAGTGCTGCCATCGGTGCTTGCGAGAAGGGGGGTCAATGGCAGCAGGCATTGAACCTGTTTGAGGCAATGCCGAAAGGCAAAGTGACACCAGATGTTATCATCTACAATGCTGCCATCAGTGCTTGTGAGAAGGGGGGGAATGGCAGCAGGCGTTGAATCTGTTTGAGGCAATGCTGAAAGGCAGAGTGAATCCAGACATTATTGTCTACAATGCCGCCATCAGTGCCTGTGAAAAGGGTGGTCAGTGGCAGCAGGCATTGAACTTGTTCAGGGCGATGCCGAAAGCCAAAGCGATCCCAGATTCCATCAGCTACAATGCTGCCATCAGTGCTTGTGAGAAGGGCAGTCAATGGCAGCAGGCATTGAATCTGTTTGAAGCAGTGCTTAGAGCCAAAGGGACACCAACCGTCATCAGTCATAATGCTGCCATCAGTGCTTGCCATAGGGGCCATCAATGGCAGCAGGCGTTGCTGTTGTTTGAGGCAATGCCTCGTTCCACAGTCAAGCCAAACAGAGTGACTTTCTGCGCGTTGCTAGACTGTCCCGGAATCTCGACTCAAAATCTTGGCGGACAGATCTTTCAGCATGGCTTGCTGCCAATTCTACAGGAATCAGCAGCTTTTCAAGATCTTAAAGTTGACCTCCATGAACACTCAGAAGGAGCAGCTCGACTCACACTGCAGTGGTGGTTGTCCACGACAGTCGCTAAGCGCCTGGAAGTCAGCCACAAGTTGGACTGCATCGTGGTCACCGGCTATGGGAAGTCACGAGAAGCCTGGAGGACGTCAGACATTCAAGCGGCTGTCTTGGACTTGCTGAAGGGCTTGAAAATTGATGCGCGGATTCTTCGTGAGAGCCTTGCAGCTTTAAATAAACGTGTTTTTTGTTTTAAATCTATTTGTTTAAAGATGGTTTAATATGTTTTTTTCTCTGAAACATGTTGGGTGCCTTAAGTTGCGGCAAACATCCCATTGACATGTTCAGCATAGATACGATGGATACAGCACTGTTTGCCTTGATCAGTTGTGCGGCCAAACAAGCTCTAATTTTTGTCAGCTAGCAATACGCATTTTTTAATATGTTTAAATCTCGAAGCTACTAAGCATAGCACAAACAGACACACACACACACGCACACGCATCCTTTTTGTCTCTTGATTAAAGCTCCTCAGCAAGCAAGGAACAAGGGAAGGATTGGACTTTCTCTGACCAAGCAAGACCTCGCGAAATTACACACTGCTGGCAAAATTTTCTCGAAAGCTGGCAATAGATGATGTGCTTCACCGATGTGGAAAGTTGAGCAGGCCCAAGCAGCTTGTTTACCAATTCCTTCCAGTTGCTGCTTCTACCAGACAGCATTGCTGTGGACCGAAGCTGCAGTCCTGGTTGTACATAGGCTGTCTCGGATTTCACTGGACCTGTGGACAAGATCCATCAAGATCCATGTGCCGTTTGTATCGGTTTCTTTCTTTTGTAAATACCAAAAATAGCGGGCGTTTTGAAATTGAAGCATCAGTGTGTGTTTGTGTGTGTGGGTTAGGGGTTAGTAATGGGGTAGCAGAGGGGCAGGTTGCCCCTCTACTTGGAAGACTCTTTCAGGATCGCAAGATTTCATTGCTATGGACAGATAAAGTGAAGAAACCATTGCGAATTGAGGCAATGAAAATTTCCACTGAGGATGGGGATTGGGATATGCCATGACCATATATGAAAGCCCGTTGCCTGTCAGTCACTAAATAGTATAGTCACCCAAGTATACGTACAAGCACGGCAGACCGCTGTCATGCCTGGGGGTCCTTTCCCAATCAGACCGACTCATGTTTTCTCTCATCACTACATGTATGTGTGTTTGTGTGTTGTGTGTGATGTGTGTGTGTGCGTGTGGTTCATTACTACTTTACAATGGAATTATGTTTGTTAAGCACGCCTAGAAAAACAGGCATAGTGTCAGTGCTTAATTTGAGGAACCCCAACATCAACTGTGGGCGGGGACCTGATGGACGGCCAGTGTCGCTGAGGTTTGCACTTTGGCCGGGGTGCGGCAACCAAGTGACCAGGGAAAATCTGTCCGAACCGAAGTTCGGTTGGTTTCTAAAAAGGATGTCTCTGGCTTAGCTCAAGTTCCATGAGAATCACTTTGCCAATAGGTTCCACGTAGTTTCAAGAACCTTGTGAACCTGGTGAAACCATTTATTGGACTAAGAATACTATGATTCAGGAGGAAACCATCAACCAGCGTTGATTGGCAACGGCTGAATTCGATTTGACGTCAATTGCAGCTGGGCTCTGCAGCTTAGCTTCAGCCATTGAGCCAAGGATCCTTTACGGAAGCCTATATTTCTTGGCCTTTATGATGTGTTTTCTATCTCCGGCTTCCATCAATATCCCTTAATTCCAGGTGTTTTGTTGTGTTGATATTTGTTGAGGGCCCTCTCACACAATCTCAGACACAAGACTGTAGCATGCCTTCCCCCGACAAACATAGACATGGTTGGATGTAGCGTACTGCAATTCCCAAAGCGAAGGGCCTAAATCAGATTAGTTAAGTACAATCAAGTGAGCTCCAGAATCAATTATTTTATAAAGCCATTTGTTAGTAAGTCAGTCCCTTCCCCCTCATATTTAACACAGCCCAGAAACCATGGTACAGGATTTACACAGATTTTGGACCATTTAGGGGGTGTGCAATATTCAAGCGGTGGGACTCTGCCATCAATATCCCATTCATATGTGATTGATATCCCATCACTATTAGAATTATGAAATGGGATATTAACCACATATTAATCACATATTAACCCCATCATATGGATATGTCATCAATATCCCATCAATATTAGAATAATCATCATATTCCATCACCAAACATCTCCTTAAAGCGCCATGGCCTTCCGTCTTCGTCATGTGGCGCACCTTCCCACGATGCCGCCGCTAAGTCTGGGAAGTTCCGGCCTGGTGGTGCTGCCGTCACTGCCATGTGGTGCAGAGGAGGTGGGTCAAAACATCGCCTGGTTGGTGGTTTCAATTACCTCCAGTGAATTAACATAGATCATGCCAGATAGGGCTTGGAAGATTAGTTTCCACTAAAAATGGGTTGTTTTCAGGTGCCCCTGATATTCAACACCCCCGTTCGAGTCACCATGGTGGATGGACGTAGGGAAGTCCACATAGTTGTGACTATAGAATTGGGGGTTGAATATTAGGGAGATGGGATTATTGTAATGCAGTAAGCCCAATAATAAAACCTCTACTGGGGATGGTTTATGATTTGGTTTATAAGGTTTATCTCATTATTTTTCATTTTTCAACTATGGAAAAGGGATGATCGGTTGAGATGATGAGCAATGATTAGCATATTTTTGCAGGTTTTCCGGCCAGCAAGCGGTCAGCCCTTCAGAACATGGCATTGCTTATGGGATTACGGGCATGAGTATAGGGTTTATTGACCCCTATTCCCCCTAGAGATGATCATCCCCCTATTCCGAATTCCCCTACAGATGATCACCCCTCCACTATGGTGTCACTAGATGTACTGGTTAACTATGCCCCTCCCATTACGGATTCCCATTGTGAGATGGATAACCTTGATGACCATACCACATTCAGCTCTTCCAGGTGGGAGGCTTTGGCTGCAATGGATTTAACATGATTTAACATGATTTAACCAACCAGGCACAGAATATTATGGGGAGGCAAGCATCAACTCATACGCTAGCAGCCGCAAAAAGTGACGCCCAGTTGCAGTTTTTGAAATGACAAGGTAACAACCTGGCCAGGTAGCTTCCGCCAGCTCTAGTGGCCCTGATACAACGCTGGTAGTGCTGCTGTTGGTACCTTGGCTGCCACTCAATTTTCTTTCAAATATGCCCTCCAAACTTTCAATTTGAAGGGAATGCTTTGCAACCAACTTTAGTGAACTGCAGAGCCCACCTATACATCTCTCCCAAAATGTTTTTTCAATATGTCCTAATGTTTCCTTATTTTTCCCCATGTTTCCCAGTTACAGGTTCAACACAAGTATTTGTCGAAAAAAGTGGCATGACCACAAGTTGTAGCTATCTCGTTCCCCCAAGGTGGCGGCATTGCTGTGGTTCACGATGCTCAGCAGCATCGCTCTGCAGTTGGGCGGTGCTGAACCTGGCGTGGAATCCACCTATTGGTGGATGGATGAGTCCAAGATGTCGCAGGTGCCGAAGCCGCTTAAGAAAGGACAGGTTCGACGAGTTAAACGTTCACTGCTTGGGCTTTACTATCCACAGCTGGGTATATGTGTATCGCAAGCGAGCTAGCTTCTGGTTTGAGATAGATATCATAGATGGTGTCTTCATTGATCTTATTTATCTTCGCATGTGGGAACGTCAAACCGTTAAGCAATTGATGTGTTGAAGGGAAAATCTGGAAGATAGAGCTGACCTATACTTGGGGTCAAAAACCGTGGTTTCCAGTCAAGCTTCCCTTAAACTAACCCAATGAGTTAAACCTGAGCTCCAGGAGATCATTCACGAGCTCGATCTTTGGACTGAGAGCAGTTGGCATATGGATTAATTTTCATCCCATTGCAACTAAAACAGCAAGGAAGAATGAGGAATGTGTATCTTTCTCATTGTGTCTCCCTATAGTTCCAAATTTGGGAGGAAGAGACGCAAACACTGGAGTTTACAGTTTAAAGAGGAATTGAGATCAGCTGTCTCCGGTTCGAAATGCTACTTCAATGTATTTGACCACGTCCTAGCTTTCCATTTTCATGTGCCACATCAGCTTGGCACATCATCAGCCTATGCCACCAAAGAGGCTGACTGGAAAAGACATTTGCAGATGTGTTGTCGGTGCCAGTTAGAGCATGAGACCCCATGCACTTCCCAAAACTCGTCTCCCCCGAAATGGCTCCAGCAGACAGAGCCATCAGTGCCAAAGCTTGTTTGACTTTCAGCTGGTTCCCTATGATGACTGGCATAGTGCAGTGCCTCAGGCCGGTACCGAAGTGTTACCCGAGGGTAGGGTGCACCTGGCATGTTTGGGAGCTGGTCTAAGGGGGATACTGTTGCGCCGCGTCTGACTTCAGGTGCATATGAAGATACAGTTGATGCTATTACCCCAATCAACATATTGTTCATAACGGGTGGCAAATTCTGATCCCTTATGAAGACAAGGTTGATGTTATTACCCCA